CCTTTTCTGTAAGTCATTCCCTATGCCTTTATCCTGATTTATTTCCTCATAGCATTCTCCACTGTCAAATTTTATTACTCACTTTTTTTTTTACTTTAAAAAATTATTTGTCTTGCCCATTTGAAGGTAAGCTCCCTAAAAACAAAGAATGTGTACTGTTCATTGCCATGTCTCTTCAGCTTAGAATGGTTTTTTAATAAAAAATCAATTGATCTGTTTCTGAATCCTTGATGCTATTCCATTGATCTGTATGAATGTCCTTTCTCTAATATCACACTGTCTGAACTAATGTACAATCTTATAGTAAGTCTAGAAATCAGGTAGTATATTCATTTCTTCCAAAAATCTTTCTGGGTTTTTGATTGGGATTGTATTGAATCTATAGATCAGTTTGGGGAGAACTGACTTCTTAACAATATTTAATTCAGTTCAGGGATATATATCTGAATATCCCATAAGCAATGATGACCATGCCTTATTCCCTGGCAGCACTCTGAGAAGGTGGCAAGACCAGAAAGGGAAAGAAGCCTTACAGTTTAAAGCCTCATCAGATACCTTTGTACCAATGGTGGCCTCAAAGGTGCAGAAACCAGTGGTCCTAAAGAGATCATGTAATCGGAGGCCATGAGTATCTCAGCAGTGACTCATGATGGGCAAGGATCAATGATAAGGGAGGCAAAAAACTCACTCATTGGTTTAAGGTCTGAGTTCTCTCAGACCTTAGGTCTCAACTCCAAGAAAAGTGGAGTTGAATTTCCCATCAGTCCAATGAGGTAGGAGGCACAGAGTAGAAGTTGGTATAAGAAAAATAAGTAAATTAGATCATTAGTCTTGGTTCTCCAAAGAACCAATAGGGTATAGATGAGATTAGAGATAAGGATAGAGATAGAAATTAAGATAGAGATATGAAAAGAGATTTATTGTAAGGATTTGGCTCATGTGAATATTGAGGCTGAGAAGTTCCAAAACTTGGCAGTTAGCAAACTGGAAATGCAGAAGAGCCAAAAGTCGGAGAACCAGGAGGGCTGATGGTGTAAGTTCCAGTCCAAGTGAAATTATGAAGGCAGGAGAAGTCCAATATCCCAGCTTAGGGGGAAAGAGAGAGGAGAGAGAGAGAATTTTCCCTTACCCACCCCTTTCTGTTCTATTCAGTCCACTGACAAACTGCATGAGGGCACCCACGCTGGGGAGGACAAACTACTTTACTCAGTCTATTGATGTGAATGTTAATCATATACAGAACCCCCCTGATAGACACACCCAGAATAATGTTTAACCAAATATACTGGTATACCACGGCCAGTAAGTCAGGTTGACACATCACATGAGATCGTTGTTGTATTGAAATTTCTGGACTACGATTCATTCTTGTGACACTAGAATCACTTTTCTGACTGTTCAGAAAGACATACATTCACAGGCTAATCTTAATAGAAAAGTAGAGAGGGGGAAAAAAAGAAATTGTAAAAGAAGCTTTTCACAATTTATCAAGAATGAACCCAAACATTCCATTTTTAAAAGTGCTGAATGAAGGTAAAGGAACATGCATTTTAAAATATTAAGATAGCACAACAAAGCACATAAATATTCTGGTCCACCTGTGAGTTAATGTTAATTCAGTTATCAGCTCACTCTTTATTTTCATGTTGGTTAGAGGTGTGTCACACCCAAGCAAGCTGCAAAGGAAGAACTTGAGAATTTCTCATTGTGTCGAAAGAGGCAAATTTGAAAATCAGTTAAAGACATCTTTAATAAGACACCACAGAGTACTAAATTGCCAAGGACTAAAAAGCAGAGATAAAAATATAGATCACAATCTAATCTCTTTAAACAAAATAAACCTATTCTTCACCAAAGTTATTTAATCTTTCTATACTAACCCTTCCCTAAGTAACTCATATCAATTTAATTGCCATTTCCTATTCAGTTCCTACTATGTGCTAGCTGTATTTGACCTGATTAAAATATTTCTCTCTCCAAAAAAAGAAATCCAAACCAAAGTCAATTTCACCTGACAAAACATGTGAAATGAAACACTTCTATTGCTAATGCTGCCCAGAAATACATGAGATTCAACAGTTCTCTAAAAGCTTTTGAGCACCTGGATAATCACTTGAGTCCTTTCAAAAACAATGGATTTTAAAATCTGACTGATTTGGTTTAGAATAAAAGCCTATGAGAACTGACTGTTGTGAGCAGTTTCTAATCTGCATGAGAATAATTTCAGAGAACTATTTAGAAAAAGAGAAAACAAAAATTTCCTGACATTGCCTGAATTAGTCAAGTTAACAGTCACCAAAATTTAGGTACCAGTGGCTACTGCCTCACTCATCTATAACAGCCACTTTACTTACTCTCCAACTCAACCCTCTCGTCAGCGACCATAACCTGGCCAGAGTCCCAACTAGCACATGTGGACCAAAAAAAAGGGCCACATACTAAACCCGACAGGCTCAGGGAAGGCCAGCCCCACAAACTCAGAGACCAAAAGTAACCACAAAGGATGATCTGAACATAAAAATCCCTAACTAAAAGCAGGTCATGGCCAGTAGTCACATCCTGGGCCTGTAGCTTTCTTGACTAAGGTCAGTCTTTACCTTAGGTAAGCCTGTTTATTGTCTCTTTGCATGCAAGATAACCTACCCTTAGAATGTCAGAGTAATCTATATTTTCCAGACCCCTCAGGGCACAGCCCACCAAACCAGAGCAAGAGACCACAGAACCCCTCATGGTTACCTTGTCTCCTACACACCAATTCTATGTGTTGTAAATATTAGTTATTAACTCTTCTGTACCCACCAATGTAAAAATGTGTGTTCCGTTTTACTTTTTATCTAATTCCAGAGATTTCCTTGCTTTGCTTTCTCCTGTCCCCTTAATCTACCACCAATGAACCCTCCTTATGTTTCCTCCTTTGATTCTAATGTATAAAATAAGCTGCAAAACTGCCATTCTCTGGAGCATTTTCTTAATCCACTGAGATTTTGCTTCCTGGCAATTGTCGTCAGTTTGGCTCAAATAAACTCATTAAAATTCTCTACAGGTTTGGACGATTCTTACATCGACACACATAACTTCACTTCCTAGATTGAGCTGTTTCACTTACACTTTTTTATTTCTCAAACTATAAAATGCCAAAGCTAGTTGGCATATTTTTTAATGAAAAAACAAAGGAAAAATCAGTGCAGACTATTCTACCAAACTTAAAAACATATGAAGGCATACATTTTAAAAAATGTGGTACCAGTTCAGGAATCTATAAATTTTTTTAAAATCCCAAAATAAACTAGGTGGACATAAATTTTTACTACGTGTTAAAGGTAGTCTTTGAAATTATACAAATTATTTAACTAATTTACTAACTTGTTAAGATGCCAGGCTAAAGATATCAGGAAAAGTACTCTTGCCTGATATCATATACCAAGGTAAATTCTCGATGAATTAAAGATAAATGTATTTTTAATGAACCTATAAATGCTCTAGGAGAATGCATTTTTCCTCTCTTGGAAGAGGGAAGATCTTTCTAAGAATATATGCAAATTCAGATTGGGGAGGCAGGATTAACATATTGGGCTGCAGAAAACTTAGAAAATTCTGTAGGTAGAAATATTACATAAAGTTAAAAATCACAGGACTACCTTGGGCTAGTCTATTTTCTGATAAAAAAAAATAGATATTTACAAAATACAAGAAACAAAGCTTAGGATATTAGTATGTGAAAAACTTTCAAATCAATAAAAAAGACAAATGCCCTAAAAGAAATGCAGACAATTCACGAGGAAAAAAAAAAGTATGACAAAAAATTCAGTATTATCAGTTTTTAAATATATGTTCAATTTAAAATAACAATGAGGGTTTTTTTTTCTGAATTAGCAATTATTTTCAATATGAAAACACATAT